ACAATAATTGATTTCTGTAGACCAAGGTTTATGGAAAATTTGAATCGACCGGTTTCAAGGTTTGCTGATAGGGCATGTACCCGATGTCATAAGATACATCAGGGAAATTGCAATACAGAATCTCGAGTATGCTTTAAATGTCAGGAACCAGGACATATAGCTCGCGACTGTCGGGTGACGCGGAGGTGTTTTACTTGTAATTCATCTCAACATCTAAATGTTGATTGTCCGCAAGCAAAGGGTCGAGGGTTTGGTTTTGTTGGAGGACGGGGATCTGGATATTCTGGGGGCCGAGGACCTGGTTACGTGCCAACAGGTCGTGGACAAATGGATAATTGTGTTAATTCAAGTGGTCGAGGAGAGATAAGATGTGAGGAGTCTGGAAGAGGGAGAGCCTTTCAGATGACGAGAGGCGAGGCAGAAGAGCACCCTGAAGTGGTAACAGGTACATTCCTCGTTAATTAAGTAGGTGCCAAAGTTTTATTTGATTCGGGCGCAAATCATTCTTTTATGTCATCGTCGTTTGTTAATTGCGCACATTTAGAATCTAAAGCATTAAGTGAAGATCTAATTGTGGAAACAGCAAACGATAGTGAAGTTTTGGTTAAGGAAAGAATAGATGAATGCTTTATAAGTATAGAAGGGTGTGAAGTGCCTATACAATTGTTTCCTTTGCCTTTAAAGGAATTTGATATAATTATAGGCATGGATTGATTAGCTAAAAATCAAGCTAACATGTTGTGATGAGAAGATGATTCATATAGACTTACCAGAAAAAGGAAGGGTTGTGATTTACGGAGATCGATGGGATCGTTATTCTAGCCTTATCTCAGTTTTAAAGGCTCGAAAGCATGTGCAGAAGGGATGTGTTAGTTTTCTCGCGTATGTTATAGACATGAGGAAAGAAAAAGAAAAGATGAAAGATATTCCAGTTGTGAGGGAATTTCCTGAGGGAAGATTTGATAAGTTTACCTCTGGATCGAACGATAGAATTTCAAATAGAACTATTTCCTGGAGCAGCACCCGTAGCACGTGCACCATATAAATTAGCTCCTTCTGAGTTAAAGGAGTTAATGACCCAGTTGAAAGAATTATTGGATAAAGGATTCATTCGACCAAGTACTTCCCCGTGGGGTGCGCTGGTGCTTTTTGTGAAAAAGAAGGATGGATCAATGAGGATGTGCATTGATTACCGGGAATTGAATAAATTGACAATCAAAAATAAGTATCCTCTCCCAAGAATTGATGATTTATTTGATCAATTGGTTGGGGCTACTTATTTTTCAAAGATTGATTTACGGTCCAGTTATCACCAATTGAAGATTCGGAATGAAGATGTGTCGAAAACAGCATTCCGTACACGTTATGGTCATTATGAGTTTCTGGTAATGCCGTTTGGACTCACAAATGCACCTGCATCATTTATGAACATGATGAATAGGGTGTGTTGTCCCTATCTTGATAAATTTGTGATTGTTTTCATTGATGATATTCTGATATATTCTCGGACGGAAAAAGAACATGCACACCATTTGAGATTACTTCTGGAATTGTTGAAACAAGAGAAATTGTATGGTAAGATGTCAAAGTGTGAATTTTGGCTGCGAGAAGTTCAATTTTTGGGGCATGTTATCTCAAAAGAAGGTATTAAAGTAGATCCTTTGAAGATTGAAGCCATTGAAAAATGAGAAGCCCCAAAGACTCCAACTAAAATCAGAAGTTTTCTTGGATTGGCTGGGTATTATCGTAAGTTTATACAAGATTTTTCTCGTATAGCTACTCCATTAACGAAGCTGACTAAGAAGAATGTGAAATATGAGTGGGATGAAGCGCAAGCTCAGGCCTTTCAGATGTTAAAAGATAAGTTATGCAGTGCACCAATTCTACCTTTGCCAGATGGAATGGAAGATTTTGTGGTATATAGTGACGCATCAAAGATGGGTTTGGGTTGTGTATTAATGCAACATGGAAAGGTAATAGCTTATGCTTCTAGACAGTTAAAAGATCATGAAAGGCAGTATCCTACTCATGATATGGAATTCGCGGCAGTAGTGTTTGCTTTGAAGATATGGAGACATTATTTGTATGGAATGAAATGTCAAATCTTCATAGATCATAAGAGCTTGCAACATCTGTTCCATCAGAAAGATCTGAATATGTGTCAGAGAAGATGGTTGGAATTGGTAAGTGATTATGATTGTGAAATTTTGTATCGTCCAGGAAAGGCAAACGTAGTGGCCGATGCGTTAAGTCGACAAGAGAAAAGTGGAACTATCAAAGCTATAGCTTTACGAGTTGAGTTG